GCTATTTGTTCTGATTTTTGTTGATGTTGTTGGAATTAGGATGAAGCATCAGGTGTTGGAAATTTGAGGCATAAAAGGCTGGCTAATTTAATTGGGTACTGCTCTGATGGGGATGAGAGGTTGCTTGTAGCTGAGTACATGCCAAATGATACACTTGCAAAGCATCTATTTCACTGTATGTTTATCATTTACTGCTTTTGTTTTTTTGTTTTTAGCTTCAATGCAGCTTATCTATGGAAATGAAGAGAAGAATCGAGATAATTTTATGGTTGATAGTTAGAGATAGGCGTAATATAGCATTAACTGCTTTGCTCCAATAGGTGTTGGGGAGATGTAAACGTTGTTTTTTGGTTTTGTCGGTAATTTGTATCGTAGCTAGTGTTTATCATCTTCTTTGTCATATTAGCGGGCAGAGTGATGGTTGGGGCATTAAAAACTTTAACTTTGTTATAAAAGACAATGTGTGTTTGTCGTTATCTTCTTCATACATAAATTTAGGGATACACCTGTTGTTAACATATTTTTTTTTCTTGCTTTGTCGCTTTATGAATTTTGCTTTCCTAGTTAATCTGATATAATATATTGACCTTTATATTGTATATTGCTTTCATCTCATGGGATCTGCGGAAATGCATTTTCTTTGTTCTTTCTCTCCAGGGGAGAATCAAACCCTTGAGTGGGCTATGCGTTTAAGAGTGGCTCTATATATTGCTGAAGCATTGGACTACTGTAGCAGTGAAGGTCGACCACTATACCATGACTTGAATGCATATAGAGTTCTCTTTGATGAGGTACTTTGATGGACATCTTTTTTAGAGCTTGGAATGTCTTCATACATTTTAGAGTAATGTCTAATGTAGACTCCTGAATTTACTTTTATCACTGTATTAATTCTGTAAATGATTTTTGGCAGAGTGGCGATCCCCGTCTTTCTTGTTTTGGGCTGATGAAAAATAGCAGGGATGGTAAAAGTTATAGCACGAACCTTGCGTATACACCTCCTGAGTATTTAAGAAATGGTAAAGTTTTGAAGTTTTTGTCTGTGTTGAGTTCTAAAGTTTTCCTCTTAGCACTATTACCATGGATAGTGATGCTATCTGGGACTGGAACATTTTGGATGGGTATGTCTCCTTGCACGAGACAGCCATTTTATGATGTGAGGTTGTGACTGCTGTCTGGTGCTGATTTAAAAAGAGACACTATTCCATGTGTGTTAAAGTAAGAGGATGTATGGAGTAACTTTGCTAATTGCTTTTTACTTATAAAATGTGTAAATCAAGAAAACGTCTTGAGCTCCCTGGATGAACAGAATGAAATGTCTACTTCAATGGTGTATAAAGTAATATCTCATCTCAAATATATATGTAGAAAAATCTTAAATTTGTTGATTGTTCGAAATATATATATGAGTCCAATACTTCTTAATTAGTGCCTGCCTTTTGAGTTATCTATCATTAGGTGTTCACAGTGAACTTTTTCCAGGGAGCAAAATTAGTATTCACATCCTGATATTTAAATGCAACAGTGTTACATGACCTCTTGATGCACGAATAAATAGTAGACCGGAATGCTGTTATACAAAGTTCTGTGATGTGAGGTAATGAAGGAAATTCCTACAGAAGTTGTGAATACGTTAGTAACTGAATTTGGTGCCTTCAGCATCTCCAATAACCTGATGTACATTATGTCATCATTTTCTCGTTTGAATTATATTTCTGACCAAGATATTCAGAATTTTGCTTGATAGTAATCGGCTTCTGTAAACTGATAGCTTGGTGGGGGGTAGGGGTGAGACTATATCTCTCTAGGAAAGTTCACAATTCAGAGCGATTTTGGAATTCCAATCCTACATCTCCTGATGCTGGTGGTGTTATACATTTGTGTTTTGGTAGTAAGTTATGTTCCTGCTTTTGGTTCTTTTCTTTTTCCGAGAAAGGGTTATGGAACTTAAATATGACAACTGAAAAAAGGAAGATTCCATTATGATCTGCCTAAGTGATTCTATTGATATCTATCATTTTCTGTTTATTATCATTCTCATTGTCAATTGATATTAAGGGATGAACAATTTATTGTCTATTTGCAGGAAGAGTCACTCAAGAAAGTGTTGTTTTCAGCTATGGAACTGTCCTTTTGGACTTGCTAAGTGGAAAACATATTCCTCCTGGTCATGTAAGTTTCTTAGAGTCTGTTTGTTAGCAGTAAATTCATCTCTTTTTGCACCAAGTCTTGGGGATTGTCACCTTGTCAATGATGGGAACACTATTTTAGGCTCTCTTGTGTTGTAAACTTGTATTTATGTACTGGTACTCTGGAAATTATTGATTGAACCACTAATTGTAATGTCTGAGACTATGTACAAAATTTGTTGCCAGACCAGCAATAGGAGGGTTGTTGGACATTAGGCTTGGAACATTAGCAGTTTGAGACAGTTTTGATTATACATCCGCATACATTTTCTGTCTTTGATCATCTTTCTAAAAGAAGAGGAGAAATTCATTTGATGTTAATACTAGTGTAGAGTACATTTCTTCACTTTGTCTTGTAGAACATTTCATATTGGTGTCATTGTGTTTACCTCATTTCTCCTTTGCAATTCCTCCCCTTTCCTATGGTGAACTGTTTTAAAATTTAAATTTAAATCTTACGTGCTTAGTTCATTCCTTTACGTTTCAGGCACTCGATATGATACGGGGAAAAAACATTCTTCTATTAATGGATTCACATTTGGAGGGAAATTTCTCTACAGAAGAGGCAACTGTTGTATTTGATCTGGCTTCACGATGCTTACAGTATGAACCCAGGGAGCGACCAAATACCAAAGACCTCGTTTCAACACTTGGTCCATTGCAAAGCAAACCTGATGTTAGTCCTACCACCATAATCTGCTCTATTTTTCTTGATGTCTTGTTTTCTATCCTTTCCCCTTCCAAAGAATATGGGAAAATAAAAACCTCATATTGTAAAAAATTTGTTTGGTAAGCTTAACTACCAAATATTGCCTCCTCATTTCTCCTTCATCTTAAGATGCTCCCTTATCTTCAATTCTCGTTGTATACTGTGTCCATGTCTTGTTTGTTCCCGAGCAACTGCTTCTGCTGGGAAGTTTGAGTCTATTTTTATCTAATTGATTGATTTGTTTTATCCAATTAGAGGTTAGAAGGAGTTTCTGATAGTTTGATTGCAGGTTGCATCTCATGTAATGTTGGGTATTCCCAAGAGTGAGGAAGCTCCACCAACTCCACAGCACCCTCTTTCTGCAATGGGTGATGCTTGTTCGAGAATGGATCTCACAGCTATTCATCAGATTTTGGTAATGACACATTATAAAGACGATGAACTGACAAATGAGGTAATTATTTTGACCTAAACTGCCACTGCAGAAGCATCTGTTTCTTTCACATCTTTATGTTGTTGTTGGATGCCCAATGATGCAGTTGTCTTTCCAAGAGTGGACTCAACAAATGAGGGATATGTTAGAGGCAAGAAAGCGTGGTGACTTGGCATTTCGGGACAAGGACTTTAAAACTGCCATAGATTGCTATTCTCAGGTATTTGCCTTCATCTAATGAGAATGTGTCAATCTGTATTACTGGTTACAACTTGCAACTTCCTTAACCCAGTAAGGTCAGTATTGGCATTTGGCAATAAAAGACTGACCCAGACAAGACATGAGGTAGACCGTAATATACTTAACTCCTGAATACCATTTATGTAGTTGGATGCCATAAATAGTTACTTCCTTGATTAATTGAGACATGCATCTTCATTGGTGATAGGAATGGCAGATCTTCTGCTTCTTCTTGTGTGGGTCGATTGACATTCCCAAGTCTCTATCATGTATCCAATTTAGAATTTTAAAATTAGCGGCTTTTCCAGAAAAAAAAATCAGTTTCCTTGGAGCCATCTATGCTCGACCACTTAATAGAAAGACCAAAATCTGAATGTGGCCTGTGTTTATGGTGTCTTTTCCACATCTAATTCTATACTGTATGTGATCTAGTTGACATTTTTGGTTATTTGTGTCACCGCTGAATCTTCCTTGGCCAAAAATCCAAGGAATAAAGTCAATGCACTCTTGGAATCTAATTCCATACTGTAAGCTGATCTTGTTCGCGGGGATGTAACACAATTATTTGCGTGCCTGGTAAATCTGCCATGTTAAATAGAACAACCAATCTATAGACTCCATCCAATCAGAGGTGGACCCAGGATTTGATTACAAACCATATTTCTAGCTTTATCCCTGCATCCAATGCCAATATTGTAGCATGACCTTTTCTGAGAATGAGATAGCGAAGATGTGGCCAGAAACTTGCTGCTTCATTGGATGCTTTACTGCATTACCTTTTCTAGCTGCTGGAGTAGTCGTATAGATTTCCTGCATTCCCTTAATACACGGTTATTAGGTAGCATGATGATCTAGCTTGCATTTGGGTTAACAGATTTCTTTCATTAGCTTACTTGTGCGCGTAAGATGGATGAGCTAAATACAACTTTGCTTTAGGCAATCTGCTTATTTCTGTGTCTCTTTGCAGTTTGTAGATGTGGGAACGATGGTGTCTCCAACTGTTTATGCACGAAGAAGCCTTTGTTATCTCATGTGTGATCAACCAGATGCTGCCCTTAGAGATGCAATGCAAGCACAATGTGTTCACCCAGACTGGTCAACTGCATTTTACATGCAGGCAGTTGCCCTGTCGAAGCTAGACATGCACAAAGATGCAGCTGACATGTTGAATGAGGCTGCAATTCTAGAAGAGAAAAGACGCGGAGGGCGTGCATCTTGATAATACTCTCTCTTGTATCATTCTTTTGGCCCTATCAGTTATTCTTGTCATCACAAAATTAGCCCAAATTTCTGTATCATTTGTTTTGAGTGTGATTGTCTTAGAACTATGTATAACAAAGGAAGAGAATCATTTGCTCTATTGGTATATGCGTATGTCAGTTTTGCACTCTGATTTGTCAAAATATGAAAAATAAATTTCTCAATGTGTACATTTGTATGTATATTTGTTAATACAATAGAGTGGTGAAGATACATTGGTGAAATCAAGAAATGTATAGCTCAGCCTTGCCATCAATGAAAAGGCTCATGAACTCTTCACCATCAACAGTTTCTTTCTCTATCAACAGCTGAGCAAGCTTGTGTAGGATGTCGATGTGAGTTGTGATGATTTGTGTAGCTCTTTCGTACGCCTTTTCAACCAATTCCCTTACTTCAGCATCGACCACATCGGCTGTTGCCATGGAGTAGTCTTTCTGGGTTGACATCTGAAATTAAAGCACGAATTTATAAGGCATGGTTAACACAAGGAAATGGAAAAGACAACTTGCAAGAATCATGTACCTGTTGGCCTAGGAACGGGTTTCCACCACCTCCTCCAATGGCAACTTGGCCTATCTTTTTGCTGAATCCTAATCTCTCAACCATCTGCCTTGCCACTCGTGAGACTTGCATGAAATCGTTAGATGCTCCAGTTGTTACGTTGTCTTGTCCAAAAATAACCTCCTCAGCAACTCTGGGGGAGCAGGGATTCAAGAAACAGAATTGGACTTGTTAGAAGGTTGAGAGGCAAGCAAGATCATGGATAAATAATGCCAGAGATATTAGCAATCCTACACCCCATAAGAGATGAGCTTAAATGGAGCAATATGGTGTGAACATTCATATATCTAACCTCAACATTTTGAGATTAAGATGTAGTTATTGTAGCAGTAACAATTATGTGTAGCAAAAGATGAAAATAGCACGACACTCGTGATCATCCTTAAAAAATGCATCACCCCCTCCCCCTTTATATTATTTTTGACATTTCATCTTTCCATATTATAAGTTCAAGATAGACTGGAGAAATAAGCATCTATCCAGGTAGAATAGGTAAAACTGACCTTCCACCAAGTGCAACTGCCATTTGATTCTCTAGATAGCTCCTGCTGTACAGGCCCGACTCAAGTCTTTCTTCGCTGGGGGCAAAGAAGGTGAGACCACCGGCTTGGCCTCGAGGAATTATAGATATCTTGGCAACAGGATCATACTCGGGCATAAGTGCACCAACCAAGGCATGGCCAGCCTCTGTAATCCAAACGTTAACACAGTTAAAAATGTACTCCAACTAAATCATCAGGAGGAAATTACTAAGCATGTTGTTCAGTTTTGCCATACCATGATAAGCTACCAGCTTCTTCTTCTCATCTGAGACAACAGCATTTTTCTTCTCCGGGCCAGCAATTATCCTCTCTAGAGCATCGGATATCTCATCTTTACTTATTTCCTTTAGGTCACGCCTAGCTGCAAGGATGGCTGCTTCATTCATCAAGTTTTGCAAATCTGCACCGGTGAAACCTGGTGTTCTCCTGGCAATCTTATCAAAGTCCACATCCTTGGCAAGGGCCTTTCCTCTAGAATGCACCTGTCATTCAGAGTAGTAAGACAAGCAGTTCAGCAAATGGAAGACATTTTTCAAGCATAACACCTCAAGCTTGTTCAGCAAAATCATGCGAACCACTCACAATCTCAAGGTAAACACGTATCACATTATTGTCTACCACATGATGTATGTCCATAAAGAATGGAGATACAATTTTGCTAATTCCAATCTCTCTTTATCACAACTTTTGATTTCCTTCCAAAGTATGACGAATGAGGAAACCAACACCAGACAACAGCAAGAAAAAGTTGTGCAAACAAACTGTTTAAAGTCTAGACCCAGCATGGTGCATATAGACGTGGTTTCAAAATAAATATTCAATCGATAAAGGATGCGTGTTGATAAAATGAAGAAAACGATGTTCAGAGTAAACTAACCTGAAGAATCCTGACTCTACCAGCAACATCAGGCCTATCCACAGTCACTTGTCGATCAAACCTTCCAGGTCTCAACAAGGCAGAATCAAGAACATCAGGCCTGTTAGTTGCAGCCAAAACAATGACACCCGAATTTCCAGAGAACCCATCCATTTCAGTCAAAAGCTGATTAATAGTCTGCTCCCTCTCATCATTTCCACCTCCAAGACCTGCACCTCTTTGCCTTCCCACAGCATCAATCTCATCAATAAACACAATACAAGGTGCTTTAGACTTCGCCTTCTCAAACAAATCCCTAACTCTAGAAGCTCCCACACCCACAAACAACTCAACAAACTCTGACGCTGCACAAGAGAAAAATGGCACACCAGCCTCACCAGCTACTGCTCTAGCTAAAAGGGTCTTTCCAGTACCTGGTGGACCAACTAAAAGACACCCTTTTGGTATCTTAGCACCTAAAGCAGTATACTTATCAGGATTTTTCAAGAAATCAACCACTTCCTGTAACTCCAATTTAGCTTGATCAGCACCAGCAACATCAGCAAAAGTCACTCCAGTTTCAGGCACCTCCTGAAACTTGGACTTAGACCGGCCGAAATCCATCGGCCCGCCAAGTCCTCCAGGCCCACCTGGGCCGCCCTGAGACCGCCTGAAAAGGAAAAACAACCCAGCAAAAGCAATAATAGGGAACAACAAGTTCCCAATAACACTAAACAACCCATTACCCCCTTCACCTTCAGAAACTGATATATCAACACCATTCATCGCCAAAATATCGATTAAATCCGGGTCATTAGGCACAATTACATTAGCTCTACGCCCATCTACAGCTGTAAGCTGAAGGGTACTTCCGTCTTTACTAAATCTAACCCTTTCAACTTTCCCCTTCTTCACAGCATTCAAGAACTCACTGTACCTCCATTGAGTACCTTCAGGAAGGTCAGAAGCAGGCTGCGCTTGAGTCTTTGGAGCATTCAAAATGATATTTTGAGCAAAGGGTAATGAGTTTGAGGCACTAGGTTTTGGTGCTTCAGCTTCAATCACTTGTGGTGGTGCTGCTGGGGTTGTATTATCAAGAGCAAAAGCTTGTGGGGTGATTGAAGAGAAGAGTAAAGCAGCTATAGCAGCTTTAGATGGAACATTCTTGAAATTATCTGAATTGGATTTTTTGCTGAGAATTGATTGAGGAACTATATACTTTCTTCTGGAGTGAAGATGGAAATACCTTGAGGTTTTAGGTGTGGGAGGAGAAACAAAGATTTGGGAACCCAAGAAATTGGAAGAGAGTACAGCATTGGCCATTGGTGGAACAAGATTGTTGTTAAATTTGGGGAATTTATTGTAACTATATATGCAAAAAATAAAGAATTAGTCTTTGCTAGTTCTTGAGAAATTGAATAGAAGCCATAGATTTGGATGTTGGTTTGGGTTGCTTCTACGTGTCAGCAATGTTATCCAGTCACCTTTGATTGATATTTATGTGGGAAAAAATGGAAATCCGCAAATATTTACTATACATTCTTATTCTTGTGCTGGAGTCATTGATGTCGAGTTATCTCTCTAGTACGTGAATTTAAATTCAATCGGACTATCAAAACAAAGAAATGAAGGCTCAAGCTTGTATTCACTGCTCAATAGCACAGAGAATTGGGCCTAAGGATGCTGTAGAGTGGGTACAAGGCCCATTAAATCATTCATCTTGTCATAAGAATGTGGCCCAACCCAAGGGAAGGTTTCTGTGTTGTGTTGGTGAAATTTTCAAAATGATCCTTCTTTTTCTGTTGGATGAATTGTGGACCTTTTTTAGCCACGCTTTAAAATCTTGTGAGAAAGTATCATACAATAAACTAAAATTTTGTGAGTTAAGCAAATATTAAACGATAGTTTCCCAAGGGTTATATTTGTTGTTAACGTTTGCATGACTAGCAAATGTTTTTCCTCCCTACCGAACACACCCTTAAGGCAATATTTTGAGCTTAGTGTTTGCATATAAATTTTATATACTATAATGAATAGAATAAAGGATTGGTACACCGAACCATACACATCTAATCAACCCTTTAGCATTTAATCAGATAACATTGATCTTCACATGTGTGCAAATTGATATAAATTGGATATGACAGACTTTCAAGATTCTTATTGCTCCCTAAAAAACTGTAGCTCGCAATTTCATAAAACATATTCTGCAATGGTGGTTGTGGAATATTTAAATATTACATTATTAAAAACTATGTTGTAGACTAGGAGGAACATTCAAAGGATCAGAAACATGACAACTTGGCTAAACAGGTCAAAAAAACTATCTTTTGTTTTTGCCTTTCATATATATGAATTGCTAACATTTTGATCTAAATCATCAAGAAACAACTTTTCCTCATCCATAGAGTCATTGATCTGTACTAAGAAATTAAGAATGGCGAAGCAAATGACCATAAATCATGTACTACGACAGCTCATCCTCTCATTGTTTGTGCAGAGGAGCAGTTGCAAAGGTTGAAGTCATTTGAAGGAACTTCCACATCTTCTAAATTGAGCTGAAATGACTGCTCAATTTAGATATGAGAGCCAGGGAGTAAGAGGAATCTTGACATTTCATGTCATCTAACCATTTTTCTGTCATCTTTTCTTCTGAGTGTTTTGTTTACGATCAGCGCTGAGCATGATAATTATTGTTGGCTGGTTTCATAAGGTTGCAGATAAGCTAAGACAGGAAAAATGTAAAGAGTACTCTACTTTTTTATGTATAATACTGGATTATGTGTTAATGAGCTGAAGTTTTTGGATCTGAGGGAATTTACTAGTGGTTCAATATGTCTAAAATTGTTGGATCTGAGTATACTCCTAAAATGAAGATCAAGTAGCAATCTTAATATGCATATCGACGAGCATTATGCTGCATGATCTGTGGACTGTGGTGGAGTACATCTATCTATGGTACACACAAGTTGAATAAAATATCACAAAAACTTTGTATTAAATGTTTGATCATCCAAGATTTGTCATAACAGACGAGCGAGTTAAAAGGCCAAACTGGTCATGACTTGGATTGATTAAACTTGTATCATAGTTCTACTTGAGGTGAAGCAAGTGAAATGATCTCGACAGTTTTACAGGTGATAAAACATTAGTAAATAGTATCTCAGGTTACTTGGATATCCACAAACATATCATAAAAATACAATTATGACAACAAGAACATACCTTGTATAATCCCACGAGATGAAACAATGCAACTAGGCATACACAATATGGTAGTCAGAAGATTTTACAAAAACAAAACCAGAAGAGCTCATAGAAAACAAAACAACGAAAAGGAAAGTTGCATCAGAAATAAGACCTGCATTACCTTATTCAGCAGTCCCTGAAAGAACTTCAATCTTTCATCTTAATTTGATGGTTTATGCTTATTTGATCAAATATTGTTTCACTCAAACTTCAACGTCATCCTTATAGTATTTCACTTTACTCATAACATCCTTTTAAGTATTAAAAGTTTGACAAAAAACATTCCTCTTTATAGTTTTTGTAATCATGTACAAAAGATACAACTATGCCTAAGCTCCAAACAAGTTGGGATCGACTATAACTGTACAAACTAAGAGCATATATCATGTCTCACATGTGTAGATTTTGGAGGAAAAAATATACATGCGACTAAAGTTCAACTGAAAAAACTAGTCGATGCTGGAAGAATTTTCTTGGAAACTCTCATAACGCAATGCACGCATGGTCTAGAATATAATCTTCTTAATACAAGATTTCATGTGTTAACTAATTAACAAGAAACATAAACAGTTGTTAATACTCTAAAATCATGTTGAAGTATTCCAAATTATGTTTCATAATGCTCCCTAATTAGTCTTCATAAATATATTCTCAATACATTTTGTCTGCATGTCGACAATTTAATAAGTACCAGACTGGCATCGTCTCTCTCCCTCGTGCATCATCCCGTTTCAATTTATATGACGATATTTGATTAAGCGATACGTACTCTTATAACTTTTGATCATGACATGATATCTCAAATTCGACCTTTAAGTATGAAAAAATCCTTGATAGAGAGCATTCTCTTATTAGTTGTAAATCCAGATTAGTTGGACTCTAATGCGGAAAACAGACACCAGATTGAAGAATTTGAGTATAAATTAATTATGCTGTTTCTTGTATTTTTCCTTTTAGGAGGAAATTTCGTTTAGGACAATATTATTAATCTTCTTAGCTGTTGCCAATACGTACAAAAAAGGATCCTTCCTGTCCTTTTTCCATTAGAGATCACAAATCTCAAATTTCTAATCTTTTTTTAGGTAACCTATAAAAAGGTTACAAATGCAAAGCATTTATCTAAACAGTCTCAATCTAATATAATTCAAAAGTCAAAAGATCAGACATATTCTCTAGGCTCAAGAAAATTCAATGGCATTACCAAATTTTGATGCTCTAAGAGAGTTGCACGACTCAGCCAACGATTTGCTTCACTCATCGATGATCAAACGAGAAATCGCCCACCAAGGACAAGAAAAATGGGTCCATGATGTTTCTGAAACATCGTTAAGGATGCTGGAAGTATGTACCACCACAAAAGATGTTATATTGTTAGTCAAAGATCATCTCCATGACCTCAAGTCAACGTTCAGAAGAATTAGTGTTGGAGATAATAATAATAAATTCACAGTATCTTTTCATTGTCAACGAAAGAAGTTGAAGAAAGAGATATTAAAGCGCTTGCATTCCTTAAAGGGAATGAAACTATCATTGGGATCGGACCAAAGCTCAGAAAGTAAAAATAACTTGATGGCAGTTGTGAACGTGCTTAGGGAAGTGAAAGGTGCTGCTATGTCAATAGTGGAGTCATTGATGTCACTTATGTTAATGCCAAGCCCAAATAACAAGAAATTAAATAAAGGGTATTTTTTTGGATCAAAGTTGATGAGAGTGAATAGCTTTACTTCTTGGGAAAAATGTGATGCCATGACATTGCAATGTGTGAATAAAAGATTGGAAGCAGTGGAGATTGTTGTTGAAGATGTTCTTGAAGGAGAATTAGAGTGTATTATTCGGCGTCTTATTAGGACAAGAGTTTCTCTTCTGAACATACTCACCTGTTGAGTTAAGTTTGCTGTATATAAGTTAAACTCATGAAATGATGAGCGAAAAATAGAAGATCTCTGCTGAGCTAATTGAAGCAATGACTGCAGATTCTTTGAATCTGAATCTTATGATATTCTAAGTTCAGATCAAACTAATTGTAACTGATTACTCTTACTCTAATTCTTTTATTTGTTTCTGATCAATAAATTAGACTATTTGTCTTTCTTTGTCTGTTTACATCTCATAGTAGATTTGCAAATTTCAATCATATTACAAGGCTTGACAGATCCTTTTGGTTGATTTACCATCGATTGTTTCAATCTTCTGATGATGGAGTGAATTGGAGGAGAAAGACTAAGAAGTCTTATGTATAAAAAATTACTATATTGTCAAGTTGGAAATACAAACAGAGAAGTTGTTCACAACACTGCAGAAACAATGGGACAAACAGCTCAATTAAAACAAAAATGACATGCAAAAACAATTATCCACTTCATAGGATTCTTTATTGAACAAAAAACACAACTGTTTCGAAAGATATTCAACTGAATTTTCCAAGAAAGACATTAGCATTGATCATATTGGTTTACAATCCAGCCACAGCTTCTACAGCATATCTGCAAAATCAATTAGCACAATTCACCAGAATGGGTTAGTCAAACAAAAATAGAGGATTCAAGACTTTGGAAGTCAGGAACAGCACACTTGAAGATATCAATGTCACAATAATTCAACCAATAAATTTATAACTGACAGCACATTAAGATTTTCATAGGTTTTTGAGTATCTCAAAATCTCAACATAGTACTAGCAGCAAATATCCGAGTAGTGAAGAGATTGCAAAAGGTGGGAATATGCTGGTGCAAGTGATGATCTACCAACAATCAAACTCGTCCTATGAACCACATATTCAGCTCAAGAAAAATGTTTTGACATGAATCTCCTACGCTTAGTTATTTTGGCTAAAAGAAGACATCTCTCTGCTTAAATAGTTGCCATTTTGCAATATATTCCTACTGTTGCTTAGACAAAGATATAGGTTATGGTAAGACTCTTGACCAATACATGTCACTCCCTGAAGTTTTGAACATGAATAAGGTTCATTTACATAAAGCAAAGAGAAACAACAGACTTTTCCAGCCACCATAATGTTCAAATGACCAACCACATTCACTAGTAACATTATAAGCTACTATAGTAGGGAAAACCTTACCTAATGGTCATGACCATGGCCATGGCCTTCCCAGGGATGCCTCCAGCCCTAAGCAGTAAAAATCACATCAACAATCACCAAAATGGTATATAGTAAATGAAAAAGGTAAGAGATGATGAAACAATATTGAGACTCACCAACACTACAGGACCATCTTTCTTGGCCCGGTATAAAATCCAAAACCTGAAAAATCAAACACAATCTGATGTTATTATATATAATAAGTGATTCAACACAGACCTCGATACCTAGTAAGTTTTTTTAAGCCATTTATAAGCAACCAGTATATACTCTCTTGTTATTTTGATCCATAAAAATGCAGATTATAGTTCATACTTTATATCATTTTCCATATATTAATAAGGACCCATTCTGCCAATATTTGAAAACTATGTTGGCACACTATAATTATTTTTTGACAACCCTTGTGTTTGGGTCTGCCTAGGCACACCTCAACTAATTTCACGGGGTATTTGCTACCTCCCACCAGCATAGGTACCAAGCAACTGTCCATCAAGACTGAAACATGGGAAGAAATCACCTAATGATTTGTCCTCGCTGGGTTTGAACAAGGGACCTCATGGTTCTCAACCCACTTCATTGTCTATTAAGCCACATCCTCGGGAGTTGTTGGCACATTATTATATACTTAAGGTCTATAACATTTAAGATAACCATTCTGCTGTATACCCTCTGACTATTGCTTATTAGTTAAATGCGCCAATAAAATGCAAAGTTTAAGGTAAGGCATCAGTGATTAAAATCACAAGCTATTCCTCTCTTCTTTTTCATTTCAATGAAGTTGAGTTATTTCTCTGAACCAACTAAACCTCCAGCAGGGAGCCCAAGGTAGCAGTGCAACTGAATTTAATCAGCCCCCAAGCACAATTTGATAAATAAAAATTGGAGAAGGGGCCTTTCCGCCGATAAAGCCCAATGAACACAAGCTGGGACAATGGGCAAATCCTCACAATACGGATTTTCGAACTGGAGTGATATAGATGGTGAATAGTCATATAATCGACCAAACTTATTAAATCGACAAGTAGTAGTACTTTTCTTGTATTATAATTGGCATCTTTTCGTCAAAATCACTTTTTTAAGGGGAAGACTCATTTGTTCAACATTTCCTGTAGAATGCTACTTAAGGCATGTCTAACATGCCCAATGAGCCTCTACATGGTGCATTTTACAAGTGCCACATCTGCCTTTGCTGGCAATATCTATTATCAACAAAATTCCATCATATGCACACACTATATGAACCTGGTAATTTATCAGCTAAGCAAAACAAATAATGAGTTAAACTTTGTTCAGAGAAAATCTCATCCTCAACAATGGATCAACCCATACATCACACACTTAAGCGCCATAAGGTTCCCTAATATATATTCTAATCAAATCTAATTCTTAAATCTCTGATCTGACAGCATTACAATATCAAATCGATACAGCTCGTAAAATCAATAGGAAAACAGGGGAAATGAAATGACAACAGAAAGGGGCTAGGGTTAGGAGAAATTACCACATGACGGCACACAATCCTTTTCCGGTAACGGAGTGCCAACGCTTAGGTTGATGTACAGTGATGCCTTTGAAGGTCACGCCATGTCCATCTCCACCTCCCATCTCTCTTTCTCTTCTCTTCGTTAATCGCTGCTCCCGAAAAGCTTCAGTGGTTGAATAAACTGGAAATTACAAGAGCTATTCGGGTTATGGGCCTAATTTTTCACGAGACAAGAGAGAAATGAACCATATGCCCTTGAAATTTTCAGAAAAGTCAATTTTAGTCCCATATTTTCAAAACCTTACTTTTGATACCCCTTATAACTCTTTTTCATTTGTTTTTTTAATTTTCTTTTTTTTTGTTTTGGTTTTGGTTGTGGTGATATGAATAGATTATTTTGCTTTTAATTAAGGGCAACTTTCACATGTAGCAAACAAAAAATTCATATTTGTATGCTATAGCAAACTTTGCATAATTGCGCTCCATAGCAAACATAAAACTGTATAATTTGCTATACATATACAATTGTATAATTAGCTGGCCTAAATTGTATAATTCGCTGGCCTATTTCGCTGCAATTGTATAATTTGTTTTGCATACAGTTTAATCGAATTAAAATGTATGTATATTGCATAGTTATAAGTGTATAGCAAGAAGATATATGTTTTTCTCGCTTTATACAAAAACAGAAACACAATATATACACTTCTGTTGTATAAAGCTAGAGAAAATTGTATTTCACTACAATTGTATAATTCACAATTGTATAATTCGTTGGCCTTTTTCTCTGCAATATTTGAAGTAAAATTTTTGTAAATTGTATAATTAAGTGTATAACACGAAGATATACATTTTTGCATGTGTATATACAATTTTCTCTCGCTTTATACAAAACAAAAACAGAATTATACACTTCTGTATATAAAGCGAGAGAGGCGAGCGAGAATGGAGAGTGGCGAGCGAGATTTTTGGGAGAGAGACACTGGCAAATTTTAGCGAATGTTTGCTATGGAGCACAATTAAATCAAACCCTAGCTATTCCATTTAATTTAGGTTATTAGTTTGCTATTATATATAATTTTCCCTTTAATTAATTTGAGATTTCGGGTCAAGTTTTGAGAATGAAGATACTCATAATAAGAAGATATTTATCCTTTAATGAAGTTAATTAACCGAACAAGAAAAAAAAAAGCTACTACTATATAATGATTAATTAGTATGTTACTCAAATGTTGAAGAACATTAAAGGGTTGGAGACGATTGAGATTTTTTATCGATAATTAGAAGTTTTAGATTTGAATTTTTGGAAATAGAAAAAATCATGTGAGTGGTAGCTTACATTAGTACGTATGTTCTGTCATACGTGAATCTAAATTTAACCAAACCCATACGAATATCAAACACCAAAAAGAAAAAAAAAAGGAGAACATCAGAGGGAGTGGAAGAATTGCTAAAACTAGAAATGTATGTAAAAAAGTATCAAAACTTCAAACTTGTCATCAATGTTATAGTAATTTACAATGCATATATAATCATCATCTCCTACTCTATCTTCTAACCTAATGAAGTCATCAAGACATACTTTCAACTAAACTATCACATTGCAAAGAGGAGAAATTACAAGAAACATTTGTTTCTCTACATGTACCAATAGAGGAAATTGCTTCTCCAATTTCCACATTACCAAGTTTTGTTCTCAACAAACATAGAATATACTCCATCAATTCATTCTCACAAGGAACTTGCAAAGGGCCATTCACATTTGAACCATACTCCTCTTCAGCCATTTCAAGTAAAACTTTGAAAATTGGATGATTTAGATAGTACAATGGCACAACAAATCTCTTGCCTTCCTTTGTATACACAACAAATTGACCTTTCTTTCCTTTTCTCCACTTGGCTATAATGTTACTTAATTTCTTAGAAGGACTCTTCATTTGAGTGTCTATTCTTAACAAACTTTGAAATAATTTAGATTATCGAATTTCACGATGGAAGCAAGAAAAAATAAATAAATTATGACTTCAACGATCACTTCTCTAGAAAATAAATCGATTCTTGTATTTTAGCTTGACTCATGAAGTGATAGAAATAATATGAACTGAAACTATAAGAATTGATATTATCAAAGAAGTTGATGATCGAAATAGTGAAATTATATATATGCTAAGGAATATATATGTAAAGCTAAGAAGCAAGAATTATTAAAGTGGATGAGTAGTTTAATTTTATTTGTGGATGGGAGTGTGAAAGTGATATATGATCTATCTATCTACATTGGATTGCGCTATATATCCAATATGGTGAAAGACAAATTCAAGGTATAAATGCAAGTGCAAAGGCAATGGTCTAGATTTGTCTCGAAGTGGATCTTGATTTGTTGTTACTAGAATTACGTAGAAATGTACACGTCGGATTTCAATATTTTTTGTTCGAATTCTATATATATATCGAGAAATTTATCAAATACTTATAAATATTTAAATATGAATCAAGTTGTTATAATGTATTAACTTAAAGTACGGCAGAAAGTAATTATAAATTTCAAATTCTAAATCTGTATTAGTCAAATTATGATTATTGGTGCTATAGAAATTTGCCTTTATAAAATTTAATAACGTGACTAGATTGTTCATGCGTAGCATGTGGATATAGAAATTTCTTACTGATTCTATATTTTTTATAATCTTAGTCATATGAACGTACCATTTCATGTGATCAACATGAGCCAAATAGTAGTGTTGAATAGCTAATAAGTTTTTAAATGCTGACGGTGGCTTAGTAAATATGTATAATAGATGTTCGATTCTTTTTTGAATCTCGCTCATAACTAGAAGCTTAATATATTGGATTATCTTTTACTTTATGAATAAAATAAATTAATTATGGTCACCATATTCTAATCACCCAAAGTTTAGAATTTTAGTTAAATTAATCATCCTAGTGCCACCAAATGATTCATCATCATGATCAATATAGATAACTTCGATTACTTTATAACTTTTATGTTATTTTGTGTAATGCTAACATACAATTAATTTCTATTGATCGGAATACTATGATATAAGTGAAGCTTTATATAGTCGATTTTAATTTTTCTTTGCGTTACAACTTAATTATTGTACTTTTTGCTATTATATCCTAGCGTTCCTAGTGGTTTCATCATGAATATAGAGGACTTTTATTAGCTTTTATTTGGTGTAAAATGCTAGTTTAAGATGGTTAAAAACTAATTGGAGAAATATGAATGGCCGTAAGAATATACTAATATACATACAAGCAATTCTAATTCACTTATATTGACGATATATAAAATTTTAATAAAAAATATAAATCGTTTTCTATACATATTTGTAGGTCGTGTAAAACCCCACTATAAGATCATTTTTGTGACATTTCTTTTAATTATTATAATAACTATGAAAGATATAAGTAATTAATTAAGTGAAATGTGTGTATAAAAGTAAACCTTAATTAGTGGGCTGGTGGCTAAGTAAGATGTCTTTTGTCAAAAGTAGTGATATTTTTTCTGTCTTTTTTTTCATACTGTATATTTTATATTAATATCTGGTATGAATTCAATAATTTAAATAGCTTTGAGAAGAAAATGTTGTTTGGTTTTGAGTACTTTACCCAATAAATTTCTTTGTGATTCATGATGATGAAGTGCAACATTTCATTTTTAATACTAACTATTTTGTCAACTAGTCAAAATCATATATAGCAATCTTAATAAGGATAATTTAATTTTAGATAGTAGTAATAATCAATGCAAGCATCAACATCCAACAATCATAATTTAACAGGATTAACAGTGGTCTCCAAAAGTAAAATCTTAGAGGTCTGCTTAATTACAAGGTAACTACATGTCAAAAAAAAAAATAGAAAAAAATAAAGTTATGCATTATTTGTATAATTAAGCATATGTATATATAGTAGGTTACTTATCATTCATTTTACATTATCAATTAGTGATATTTTGTGATACATAATTATCTTTAAATATTTTTTATATTGTCGATAGTCCAAATAATAAAAAAAAAAAAAAATTAACAAGGCTAAGTTACAATACGAAGTACCCCATAAAAAAAAACAAAGTTAACAAGGCTAAGTTACAATACGAAGAACCCCGGGAGCAGCCTTAGCCAAAGCAAAAAAATTAAGTTTGGGACATCAACAGCCAAAAGTGCTTAGTCATCATACATGCATTGCCACAAATTAACAACAATTTAAATGTATTTCCCTTTAACATAAATAATACTAATAATTTTATTATCAAATGTATTTCCCTTTAACATAAATAATACTAATAATTTTACAATGATAATAGAGTATTATTTAATAAATCTTATATATTTGCATGCGCGGTACAAAAGTATGTCCCCAATTGTCAAACCTTATTTCAGCACGCCACTAAATGTTTTTAAATATTTTTTAGTATTAGTATGAGTTCGTTCACGTTGGAACGATTTGATGGATTTCACACTAATAAAAATTAAAAATAATCGATTAATATCTACTGTCTCTTCCTTTTTCAACTGCAAAATAAATAAATCTTGACTTATCATTTGTTCAGTTCGATCAATTTAATATTGATTTGGTACTATAATTATTGATGCCTTGGCGGAATAATATTTATTTAAACATCAAATAAATGATATAATATTCAAAACTCAATAAGTAAAAATTTATGATCTAAAGTTCATAAGATAAAATTTTAATTTCATCTCTGATTATATATGAAAACAAAATAGACATGTTCATATATTGGTTTTTTTCGTCATCCTAATTACATCACATATGGTCGTCAATTAGGAGCTAACTAGCTAGTCAAAAGAATTTCTTGGATTTTTCAAAGTGAAAAGACATATCACAAATAACACTACAAAATACCACTATGGTTGTGGCTCTAGTGGGTTCTATAATATATACAAAGTTGTGACCCTCTTTATATCCTTGGGAACATAAAAAATAAAAAAGAAGTTGTTGAAAAATCATTTTAGCCACATGGTCCTTAGTAAAGGCTTTTTGCCAACTTTGAATATTTTCTAGTTATATTTATCAGTTTACTAAAAGAGTCAAGTTGCAAGTATCACCTCCTATGACAATTGGAGTCATTAGTCATATCATAATTCTCCAACACAATAGGTTAATTCTATAGGGTCATTGGGACATATAATATTATTAATATTCTTTCTATTTATTTTTATTTATCAGTTATGAAAAATTAAGAGATAACTCAACTTAGTTTTTAATTTACTTTTATTATTAACCACAATGATTGATTTTTTAAAAATATTTTGCAAAACACCGAATTTATTGTATTCAAAGAATGGATATATAGTAAATTCGTCATTTTATTTAAAGTGAGGAATGAAGATAGTGAAGTATGTCAAATTAATACTGAACAAGTAAAAATAGACGAATGGAGTAAGTGACTAATAAACAACTTAAACTTTTAGTTGAAGTGCTCATATAATTCAAGATTTGAAGATAATAAAAAACTTAATAAATAGACATTTTTCCTTTGTTTAGATTTTATTTCTGAATATTTCCACTATCGGATTATTTCAAAACAAGATCGTTTAATTTAGATTTGGTTTAAGTAATTTCCTCGAAAGAGAAAATTGTGGCAACACATATATTGTGTTAATTCATACACACATATATATATACACACCTTATTACTTTTCTAAGAGTCAAGTTAAGCTTTTCTAATTAGTGAAATTTCCTTGCACCTCAAGCTGAAAATTATGATTGAAAAAAAGAAATTAATATATATTGTATTCCCAAAAATTGGATTTCAGAGGTTTCTTTGCAGCTTCTGATCTTCATTTGTTTTACGTTAAGAAAATTTGCTCTAATTTCAGTGCTATAGTTCTCAAAATTATGAAATTTAAAATATATTTTTTCACCAAAAAGGAGTGATATCTTACTTTTCATTTGAATAATAATTAATTATGAAAGATTAAAACACATCAGAGTAATTCAGAATTTAAAATTTAATAGTTTCAATTTTTTATATTCTCACCATTAATATATAACTCAATAATAAGTTTGTGTGATGTGATGAATAACTAGTATTCTTTATCTTTTATCAGATAAATTTTTAATTATATTCCTGAACTTTAAAACTTAAACTCTTGAAGGGAATGCTCACCCCCTCCTTTGATTTGCCTTCAGAAATGTAATCTTTAATTATTCAACACTATAATATAAATATGAACACCAAATAAAAAGTAACAACCAAAAAAATAAGTAGTAGCAAGTGTGGAGGAAAATCATCCCATAATGTGGGGTCTAGTCAATTTTCAAAGTTGCATTGCTACTTTATTCACTATATAAAAAGAAGCATAGTGTAGAAGAAAATCATCCAATTACTACAAGAAAATATATTATGGAAAGGGAATTAGTAGTAGAAGAAATGAAAAATATTAGTAGTATAACAAATTCTTTAACATCATCTCCTCATGATGATTCAAATAATATTATTCGTAAAACACCAAAAAGTCCATTTTCTTCAAAAATATCAATGAGTCCTTTAGCAAGTGCAAGTCCAATAATGAAGAAAGCTTTAACATATATGGAAGAAATTGGTCATCTTACAAAGCTTCATGATCCTGCTCTAGATGCTTGGCTTCCAATTACTGAATCAAGAAGTGGAAATGCATATTATGCTGCATTTCATACACTTTGTTCTGGGATTGGTGTCCAAGCTCTACTTCTTCCTCTTGCTTTTATCACACTTGGATGGTATGTACAATAATCATCAAAACTTGTTTACTTACTTTTGTTATTTTTCTGTATGTTTCTTTAATTTTTTTGCTAAAGGGAAAATAAATAAAAGTTGTATTTTTTTATATGATAGAAGTCATTTTTTAGATTTTATTTTGGTGAAGAAAATGGAAAATATTTATTAAGAATTGATAATGATATTAGTAAACAAGAAATGTTTTTTTATGAAAATTTTCCCACTAAAAAAAAAATTGTACTAGAATTACTGATGTAATAGTATCTATGTAAGTGAAGTGTTTGTTAAAGCAGTGATATAAAGTTGAGAGGATATAATTATTGGGAGGAGTATGACTAATTATTTTGGAACTAGTATCAATTATTGGAAAAATGAAATACTTTTTGTTTTCCATCATAGCCCTTTTATTTTGTATTGTTT